CACAGCCGGTGATCGATTAAAAAAAAAAAAAAAAAAAAAAAATAATAATTAAAAAATAAATCTCTCAGTCCAATTGTCTAAAGTGCTTAATCAAGATCTCTCAGTTCAAATTGTTTCACCTCCTCAAACAAGATCTCTCAGTCCAAATTGTTTCACCTCCTCAATCAAGATCTCTCAGTCCAAATTGTTTCACCTCCCCAATCAAGATCTCTCAGTCCAAATTGTCTAACGTCCTTTATCAAGATCTCTCAGTTCAAATTGTTTCACCTCCTCAAACAAGATCTCTCAGTCTAAATTGTTTCACCTCCTCAATCAAGATCTCTCAGTCCAAATTGTTTCACCTCCCCAATCAAGATCTCTCAGTCCAAATTGTCTAACGTCCTTTATCAAGATCTCTCAGTCCAAATTGTCTAACGTCCTTTATCAAGATCTCTCAGTCCAAATTGTCTAACGTCCTTTATCAAGATCTCTCAGTCCAAATTGTCTAACGTCCTTTATCAAGATCTCTCAGTCCAAATTGTCTAACGTCCTTTATCAAGATCTCTCAGTCCAAATTGTCTAACGTCCTTTATCAAGATCTCTCAGTCCAAATTGTCAAACGTCCTTTATCAAGATCTCTCAGTTCAAATTGCTCACCTCCTCAAACAAGAAGGAGGAAGGACAGTGCTGTGTCTGTGAATGTTGTGCTTGTTAAGAGTCTGTATTCATTGAATATGGGACATCTTAAATTGTGCTTGCCACTTTGCAAGGAGAATACCCGTCTCCGCCCTTTTCAACATGCTATGTGAAGCAGTTACAATCATGGCATTTGAGTACAGCTGATTCTAAAGCCAGTTGAATGCAGCAGTGACTGCCTTAACCTCCATTCTCATACTAGACTGTGTGATATCATACGCTAGGCTTTGTTGCACTAAGCGACATCCTGTGCTTAGTGTGTACTTCGTCTGCCTCTTAACTCAAAGCCATCTGTATAGATAATCACACCACTAGGGCAGGGACTGTCACGAATCATTTGTTGAACTTCTGATTCTGCAGCGCTAGCTGGCTAGTCCCTGCACTCACGACCAAAGTGATAAGAATCCTACACAAGTCTGAAAACTTGCTCGGACTCTTTCACCCACTCCTCACCTCGCACACATTTATCAAGCCTGCACACTTGTCTGATTGTGTCTTTAGCTTGTGCAATTCAAGACCTTCCTCATTTCAGTCTGTGTCCCTTAGCTCTACCCAGAGCTTCATGCAGGAAGTGCCTCTTGTCTGGAGGTGGCTACTCTGAGATATGACTCTGCTTGCAGAACATTGAGCCTATCTGCAATAGTAGGCAGTGCAAGCATATATCGCATTCATACTACTATAAATCTTGTACATCCCGGAATTACCCTCGTGGCTTCATTCTGTATGCTTTTAAGTTTAATCAGCTGACTGTTTGATATGGCAAGCATTCCAAGCCCATAATCTATAACTGACAGAATAACATGCTGGAACATTGTGAACATCATTCTTTGTTCCATGTCCGTTGCTGCCATAATCTTGGAAGCATTGAGTCCTTTTTGGCATTTCACCGCAACTGCCTCCATATGATCTTTGATGGGCAGGCTCCTATCGAAAATGATACTCAGGTACATCAGTTTGCTTTCTCTTTTGATATTACTGTTAATAATTGTGAGGTTTGGAACATTAGCTCTTACAACTCTATTTTCCAGAGAGCACCACAAAATAACCGTCTTTTCTTGGTTTATGACAGCACCCTTTTCTGCACACCAGCCAGTCACTTTGTCTACAGTTGTCCGAAGCTCTTGTCCTTTCCGTTGCTTATAAATCCCCTGCCTACATGCAAAAACAAAAAAAAAAAACATCAGCAAATGTCAATATCCTTTTAACACCCGGTGCTTCAATTTCTGCAGTCCAGCTTGTATAACATTAAAGAGCACTGGTGCAACTGCAGAACCATATGGTATTCCCGGGGCGATATTACATTGTTCTGAGGTCAATGTACCCAATGGAATGGCTACTATAGTGAATGCAGGAGAGCTGCTATCCAGTTCACAAGCGAGGGACAAACCCTCTTCTCAATGAGTGCAGACAGCAAAATATCATATCAGACTCTTTTGTAGGCATACTCAAGATCAAGTGCTTCTTCAGCTATTTCCTATCTGTTCTGGAACCCCTCTTAAACATGAAAAGCAAAAGTAGCAGAATTTGACCAGGTATCTTTTCAAGGCCGGTAACTACCCAAACCTTTTGGCAGGAACTTTTTCCTTTTCAAACAACGTTTGTAGTTTAACAGCAATAATCGTCTGGAATGATCTTTATCTGGTTTTGGAAGTGGGATTAGGTAGCTGTATACCCAATTCTGACGCACTGAAGCAGTTCTAATGCTCTGGTTGAAATAATCATAATCTCCATATGGGCTTACCTGACTCCGTCGGCGGTGTCTTTTGTTTTTTGCAATATATATTTTAGACACTACATCCTAATGATGTTATTAAAATAGTTATCATTTATTGTACTGGACAGATTACCTGCAACCGAATTTTTAAGCTCCCTTTCAAGGACCTTGTATCTATGCTATTGAACTACGTCCCGTTATAAAGCCCTGTGACAGACACACTATCCTATGACTTAAAACGCATACCCACTGAGTACAGGCATAATCAATCTTTAATGTACAAAGAGCAAATGAACCTAAAGCGAACCTCATCAGTTATGGACAGTCCCTAATTCGAAACGCCGGCTTTGGTAGCATTTATATTCACTAATCCATCTTGAGCCGTTCCTATGGATGTACCAAAGGACTCGATCCCACCTCACTGTCATACAGCGCAAACTAGGCTGTTGTCCTCGCCATGAGAGACCCAGTGGCATGCGCAGGGTGAGTGATCCAAGTATGAGCGGACAGTGTTAACGCCATTACCGAGCAAGGCTAAACTCGAATAACCCATAGACCTGAAAAACTACTTACTCATGACACAATACCAACACAGCTGTCCGTAGAATACTACATGCCACACGAGAAATACTAACAGCTAACCAAAACACTTTATGACAAAGCTAACAATCCCTATATTTTAACTCCTACCACAAAACAATCTATAACATCTCTCTATGTCCTCAGCCTCACGCCTCACTGTCCAACTCCCTTCTTTCTTCCTGTTCAGCTTCTTTTTTCTCTAAATCTTCTTCTATAATCTGAGGTGGCTTTCGCACTTTATGTAATTGACTAGCTGCTGCTCTCCATGCCTGTTCTACTTCTTGGGTCCACCATGGAGGCTGCACAAAAGCAGAGGTGGTAGTTCTGCTGCATACCTTCTGTCGAAGGCGTCCAAGAAAGTTACTGTGCCTCTCATACTTAAAAGGCCTGCACGTTCTCACAGCCCTAATCTTGTTAGCTTAATAATCATGACTGAGCAAGGTAAATTGTCTCTCTAATGATCCAATGATCGCACAAGACACTCCGTTTTGTGTCCAGCACTACTGACTAGGTTGCCATTCTAGTTGGCCTTCTGTCATTTATACAGACTATGTCTGCATCCACCATAACCTCTGCTAAAGCACTTCCTTGTCTATTTTCGCCAGTACTGTCCCATGTTCTGTTCCTTGCATTGAAAACCCCACAAATGAGAAGCCTGTTACCCAGGATTTCCTCCAACTCTTTGAGCCAGTCCTAAAGTCACCAAAGTCATGTCAGTCTCTCGAGTACATGTTCTCTCTGCTTAGTACTACGACAATTCCAGAAACCCACTCCAGTTTGCCTAAATCCCAGACGCTCCGTTTTTCTCATGACTCTTCAGGCTCCAGCTCTCCTATATCTATGCATTTTTCTTTCTCCATTTCCTCGACTCGACCCATCTTTCCACTCTCTTCGTTTTCCCCTGAAGATGGTATCAAGCACTCCGTAGCTCCAGCGATGATTCCTTTTATTTTTAATTTTAAAATCCTTATAACATATTCATTAAATGCAGAAAGTAAATGGTCACCCTAGTATTGCCTGTCTGCAAGGAAAGAGGCAATGGATGTCCTCACTGAGTCAATACGCCTGGCCCACGAACTAACCAGACGTTCCACTTTTATGACTGTGTAACCCAAAGTCATTTATCCAGTAGGCACGTAGGTCCACCGTAGACTTAGTTTTTTTTAACGAGGTTGTCTCCTCTAGATCCGTTGCATTTTGTGACTCTTCGTTCATGCACATCGGTCTTGGCTGTAGAAGGGTTTTCTTGATCAATGGCCTTAGTGTGTCCCTTTCACCCGATAGCTACAAGTACTCATCGGACTAAGCCGAGCTCTCAAGGCGGAACAGTTGGTTTGCTCCACTGTACGAAAGATAAGACATCTAGAGCAATGGAACTCTTTGATCCTTGTGTATTCAGGTGCACAATAATCATGATGTAATTTTGTTGTGGTAAAGTTAAGCTGAATTGCGAATTGGTGTTGTAGTGATATTAGGTACTTTATTTCATGGTGTTGTAGTGGTATTAGGTACTTTATTTCATGGTGTTGTAGTGGTATTAGGTACTTTATTTCATGGTGTTTTAGTGATATTAGGTACTTTATTTCATGGTGTTGTAGTGGTATTAGGTACTCTATTTCATGGTGTTGTAGTGGTATTAGGTACTCTATTTCATGGTGTTGTAGTGGTATTAGGTACTCTATTTCATCAGTCAAGCCCAACTAATGCTATAAAACCCTCTCAAAGTCATGTAATTTTTCAGTATCTTCAATGACTAACATGTAAACTCATTTTCCTTCAGAAAACGTCCACTAAAATAATAATATAAGACATTTCTGTGAATGCTTATGAGAATAAAGTCGCAATGAAACAACCAGACAGCGACCAGCCTACATAAACGCAGACAATGGAGAACAGACAAATAAGCCATCCCAAAAGCCCAGACTGGCCAAAAGGCGTCTCTCTGGCTGTATGGGCATGTCTGCAAATGTTTCTGGTTTTTTCGGACGTCGCCGGGCGGTCGTGTGCCGATGAGAACTACCACACCAACATGCTCAGCCAGCCAGTTTCTCCAGGCAACGTGCAGCCGCTAGACATCAACATCACTTTCCTCACCAGCGTCAGCAACAGCGGTCGAGGCAAGTTTTATGCAGGAGCGTTTTTCCTGGCCGTGGATGAGCTCAACCGAATGGCAGCTGAAGCTCATGTTCCGGCCACATTCCGCTGGAGCTTTCGAGACACAGGCAATAAAGAAACGGACGCACTCAAAGAAATGGCGGATTTGCACTGTGCTCACCAAGTATCTGCCTTCATCGGGCCAGATGTTTACTGCAAATCTGCTGGCTTGCTCGCTACGGGCTTCGGCGTTCCTTACATAACTTTTGTAAGTATTCACTGAAGACATGCCATTGTGTTAACTGTATGAGTGACTCTTTGTGTAAGTATTCACAGTAGGCACGCCATTGCATTAATTCCGTGAGTGAGTCCTTGTGTGAGTATTCAGTGTAGGCATGTCATTGCGTTAATTGTGAGAGGATTGACATGTCACTGCGTTAACTGATTAATTCCTTGTGCGTATTTACCATAGGGGCGTTATTACGTTAATTGTGAGAGTCAGTCCTTGTGTAACTTTTGCAAGTATTCAATGTAGGCGTGTCAGTTAGTTAATTGTGCGAGGGAGTCTTAAGTAACCTTTGTAAGTATTCAATGTAGACATGTCTTTTAGTTAATTCTGGAAATGAGTCATCGTGTAAGTATTTACTGCAGGCATGTCATTGCGATAATTGTATGAGTTCTTTTGTGAGTATTTCTTGCAGGCACATCATAGCGTTAATTGCGTGAATGAGTTTTCAGTAAATTGTGTAAGTATTTACTGCAGGCCTGTCATTGTGTTAATTGTGTGAATGAGTCCTCGTGTAAATATTCATCAAAGGCACTCATTATGATGACGTCAATTGATTGAGTTAATCGTTGTGTATTTACTGTATTCACGTCATTGCTCTTATTTTCTGAGGGAGTCAGTCTGTATTCACTGTAGGCACACCAGTTGATATTTAATTGGTGAGTGAGTGCTTGTGTACATTTTGAAGGTGTGTGCTCTGATCCAGTCAGCATGCACACTTTGAGACATGTACTTGCTTAACTTTGTGTCTAGGTCTATGTGCTCAGATTGTCTCTTGTCCAGCCCAACTCAGTATCTAGGTCTGTGTGCTCAGATTGTCTCTTGTGTGTCACAAGTATTAATTGTAGGCTACAGTGTTAGTAATTTCAACATTAAGTCACACGAACGTACAATTCAATGAATGAGGTATGTATATTGATTGATGGCTTCAAGAAATCTCCTTGCAACATGATGATATCCCCGTTAACATCTTGACTGAGTGGTTCACATTGACAGAACACGGGGAAGATTTCCCTGAGATTAATTCATTTGCCGTGGCTGTTGACATAACTAGCTTCCGTTTTTAAACAAAAACCACAAAGTCAAGTTTAGCTCGAAGACAGGAACAAACAATGTGAGCAGATAAGAGCCGTCACTGGAGACCAGTTGAATCCACGACCTGAGCTTCTGTGATGAACTGATAGTTGGTTGTCTAGTTGCGTTTTAGACTTCTTCCGGTGAATACTCGATACTGGATGTGGTCTGTCCAATGTCGAATCGGAATTGGCTATTCGATGACAAGTTACCCGTTACCCTTTATAAGTGGAACTGTTATGTAAGAAGTTGCCACCAGAGTCCAAACTAAGGTAATCGCTAGAGTCAGCAATGAAGAGGACCCATTCAAACATCAGAGGATTTTTCAAGAACATTAATGACCTTGTAGCCACTGGTTTAATCTTCACCAGTATCACTATCTTTATCATGCATCAGCTTCTTCACAGAAAGGTACTGTGGTCATCGCAAACCCAAACATGTTTTCATAAGGAGCAAGCATTTCAGTTTTTGAGAAACCACGTTCTCTGTGAGCCGGTCATACTCGATATCCAAATCATAAAGAATGTCTGTATATGGTCTGTGATATTCTGTGTGAGCCAATCATCAGCGATATGTAGATCATAAAGAATATAACAGTCTGTTAGTGGTCTGTGATACTCTTCATGAGCCAATCATCAGTGATATGTAGATCATGAAGAATATAACAGTCTGTTAGTGGTCTGTGATACTCTTTATGAGTCAATCATCAGTGATATGTAGATCATAAAGAATATAACAGTCTGTTAGTGGTCTGTGATACTCTTTGTGAGTCAATCATCAGCGATATGTAGATCATAAAGAATATAACAGTATGTACGTGATCTGTGATATTCTTTGTGAGTCAATCATCAGTGATATGTAGATCATGAAGAATATAACAGTATGTACGTGATCTGTGATACTCTTCATGAGTCAATCATCAGCGATATGTAGATCATAAAGAATATAACAGTCTGTACGTGGTCTGTGATACTCTTTATGAGCCAATCATCAGTGATATGTAGATCATAAAGAATATAACAGTCTGTTAGTGGTCTGTGATACTCTTTGTGAGTCAATCATCAGCGATATGTAGATCATAAAGGATATAACAGTCTGTTAGTGGTCTGTGATAATCTTTGTGAGTCAATCATCAGCGATATGTAGATCATAAAGAATATAACAGTCTGTTAGTGGTCTGTGATAATCTTTGTGAGTCAATCATCAGCGATATGTAGATCATAAAGAATATAACAGTCTGTACGTGGTCTGTGATAATCTTTGTGAGTCAATCATCAGCGATATGTAGATCATAAAGAATATAACAGCATGTACGTGATCTGTGATATTCTTTGTGAGTCAATCATCAGTGATATGTAGATCATAAAGAATATAACAGTCTATACGTGGTCTGTGATACTCTTTGTGAGGCAATCATCAGTGATATGTAGATCATAAAGAATATAACAGTCTGTTAGTGGTCTGTGATACTCTTCATGAGTCAATCATCAGCGATATGTAGATCATAAAGAATATAACAGTATGTACGTGATCTGTGATATTCTTTGTGAGTCAATCATCAGTGATATGTAGATCATAAAGAATATAACAGTATGTACGTGATCTGTAATATTCTATGTGAGTCAATCATCAGTGATATGTAGATCATAAAGAATTTAACAGTATGTACGTGATCTGTGATATTCTTTGTGAGTCAATCATCAGTGATATGTAGATCATAAAGAATATAACAGTATGTACGTGATCTGTGATATTCTTTGTGAGTCAATCATCAGTGATATGTAGATCATAAAGAATATAACAGTCTGATAGTGGTCTGTGATACTCTTTGTGATTCAATCATCAGCGATATGTAGATCATAAAGAATATAACAGTATGTACGTGATCTGTGATACTCTTTGTGAGTCAATCATCAGTGATATGTAGATCATAAAGAATATAACAGTCTGATAGTGGTCTGTGATACTCTTTGTGAGTCAATCATCAGCGATATGTAGATCATAAAGAATATAACAGTATGTACGTGGTCTGTGATACTCTTCATGAGCCAATCATCAGTGATATGTAGATCATAAAGAATATAACAGTCTGTTAGTGGTCTGTGATACTCTTCATGAGCCAATCATCAGTGATATGTAGATCATAAAGAATATAACAGTCTGTTAGTGGTCTGTGATACTCTTCATGAGCCAATCATCAGTGATATGTAGTTCATAAAGAATATAACAGTCTGTACGTGGTCTGTGATACTCCTCATGAGCCAATCATCAGTGATATGTAGATCATAAAGAATATAACAGTCTGTTAGTGGTCTGTGATACTCTTCATGAGGCAATCATCAGCGATATGTAGTTCATAAAGAATATAACAGTCTGTTAGTGGTCTGTGATACTCTTTATGAGTCAATCATCAGTGATATGTAGATCATAAAGAATATAACAGTCTGTTAGTGGTCTGTGATACTCTTTATGAGCTGGTCATACTCAGTATTCAAATCGTGAAGAAGGTCAGACTATTTCCTTTACTTGGTCTACGATAATAAATGAATGAATGCATGGATAAGTCAAGAATTTACATTATTACACACGCAATATTTCCATACTTGCTCTGTCTACTACTTCAGTAGCCAATAAATGGTGTACATGATAATTGTACCAGTTGCAACCTTATTAAAAGTCATTGTTTAATTGTCCCTTCAGTGTTGAATTTCTTCCAGAGCCTCTACTTAGCCATCAACCTCCATCCCCAACCAGATGAATTAGTCCTTCCATGTATGGATTCCCTATCTTTTCTTTTGCACTGCTCGTTTCATCCCAGAGAGCTTTTACCACGTCGGTTTTATCATAAAGTAGCTGACTGCCCAGACTGGAAACTGGATAAAGAAAACAAAAATATCAAATCTGGTCCTCTTTCAGCTGCCCTGAGGCCTGCTTTACTGAGGACGGTTTCTTCGCTATCTGATTTTCTTTGTTTCCTTGCGGCGATCATTATTGCCTAAGTTCAGGTGTTTGCTGCTACGTCGTGTCAGCTCGATCAGGCTTGGCTGGTGTAGGAGTGGGTGGGGTGGGGGGGGGGGGCTGCGACGGAGATGGGTGGGGTCACATCGTGGCTGTCTGTCAGGGCTGGCGGTCCTTGTCTGGGCTGTCCGTGAAGATGGAGGCTTGTTTGGTGAGCTCTGTTTGTGGCTTTAGAATTGCCTTTTCTATTGGGCGTGCCCTGTTTCCACTGTTTTTTTTTTTTTTTTGCGCGCGTAGTTAATTCAGGGCTGCGTTTAGTTCGTCGTAGAATTTGTCTAGTTGTTCGCTCTTTTCTATGTCTTCAGGTGTTCGGTCTTTCTTCTCAAGCTCCTCCCATTTGTAGGTGATACAATAGCGCTTGCATTCGTCGTCATACTCTAGCTTGTGCGGGTCCACTTGCTTGTTGAAATCTTCAAGCATCGCTTGAGGGTCGGCCTCGTAGATTTCCTTATTGGTTGCCGCTTTCTTGACTGTTACACTGGCTATGGCATTAGCTTGATTTTGGCATTTAGTTGACGGCTACGAAGTGGCCTCTTTTTCGGCCTTCCTTTCTCCTCGATGGTGTTTCTTGTTTGGGTTATTTCTGTTTGCAGTTTTTGGTTGGCCTCTTTAAGTAGTTTTACCTCAGTCGAGAGTAGTTCCTGACTTACTCTGATTGCTTTGTAGCTAGCTGTTCTGCTCTTTTTCGGCTGTCTTCTCTTTTTGAGTCTGGATACAGGACAGCACGGCCTTGATGTCTGCATAGAATTGAGTCATGTCAGCGATTTCTGCCTCCATGCGTTTTTGGGTCTTGAGTAAGTCTTGGATTAGGTTTCGTAGTCCTGTCATCTCCTCTCTTTCCTCGGCTCGCTTGAATTTGGATGCTGCTTTTTCCCTTCTGAGCAATTCAA